AAATCTCTATTTAGAGGTTTAGTTAAAGTATCCACCAAATTCTCGATTAACATTACATAATTTACGGAAATTATTCCTCTTGATTAATTTCTTTATGTAATCATGTCTTAGACTCACGTGTCTAGACTTTCTATTACATGTGACTTAATATCTTATTAAATTAAGCTAGCCAAATATCGATTCATTTAATGATACAACTTTGTCACCACCAAGAAATCATTTTATGAAGCAACATGCTTCTTACTAGCTTTATCTAAAGCTTTATTTACTTCCAAACACTATTGGAGAATTTATGTCAAATCATTACACTAGTAATCACTTTTACTAGTAGATCTCATGTATGGGTATTTAATTCTCATCATTGAATCATTACAATGATCTTCAACATTATGAATATTCATCAAATATTCAAACGCCATAATTGGCTTTCAACCCATTTCATCCACTTTAGACTTAGTGCATATCATCCTTATAATTGTATAAGGGTTACGTTTTCACCTCATTAATATTCTTCTATTACCGTAAGTTATAGAGAAATGTAACTTTTAAACTAAGTTACCCACACAATTCCTCAATTAGGAATCCATGTGCAACTAGTAATATTGCATCCACAAGTCTCGAACTTCTCATATAAGTTCACAAGCATTAAATGTTATCCCCCACATTTTTGGTTAAAATTTTACTTAGAATTCTTCAACTCTCTCATAGTTCAATTCATTATCAAATAGATAATGTCCTTATTGAATATTTCATGAAAGTTTAAGTACTTTCAAAATAGTGATCATTAATTCACAAAGTGCTTCAATCCGACCATCTTTCATTTTGATCACACATAATTTGATCAAGGTCATCTAATAGAACAATAACACTTTTCAAGCATAAACCAACCCAATTTGAATACCGTCGCTAATCAGCGACGAAAAAATCCCATTGATAAATCTGTCGGTAAATCGCCCACCGGTAATTTTACCTACGAATTAAAAAATTCGTCGCTGATTACCAACATTTTAGCAACACCATTTTTCGTCGGTATTTTGGCGACGGATTCAACGGATTGAATACCGTCGCTAATCAGCAACAGACTTCCTACAAATTTTCCGTCGCTAATGCCTTTTAAAATTTAAAAAAAATGAATATATATATATATAATGATGACATTCAATTTTTAATGTAAAGATTAATTAACAATTTACATAAAATTGCAAATATATCTCTTTAATTACATAATTTTTAAATTTCAAAACAACACAAAATGAAACTAAATTACAAGAATAATTCGTCCAACTATTGAAGACACTTTTAGAGGCTACATGTTGCAACACACACCATTCTCACAAAGGCTAAAATCCCCAAAATTCGTTGAAATACTTTTTGATACACTAGGCTGCTCCATGACATGATGGGTCGAGGATATGATTGTAAACCTGGAACTGCATCCTTATTGCATGTAAATGTGACAAACATTGTCCCCTGATCAACAATAACATTATCTCCCTCCTCCAGTAAACCTTCGTATAACAGGAATTTCATCTTGTAAAACAGAGTAAATTTCAAGAAGTTCCACATGTTTCCTATTAAAAACATGTAACATGCATCAATTTCATCCAGTTAGTATACATTGACA